GTGTAAGATTCCTGAGTATAGATTCCGGGGTGGGGTGGAGGGCTGGTTATGGGGGAAATCCTACTTTGTACAGCGGTTGTCATAAAAATTACATCATTCATATGTTTTGATTTCATAATTCCATTTTTCTCGTAGAAAGATATATTTTCTCTATCATAGAAAAATATATTCCTTCGCAAAATCAAGGTTGTAAATGCTAGGTACATTACCTGATTTAACATATTAGAAAAATATAGAAAGAAAGTTTCAATAAAAAAGGCAGGCGGGGGAAGGGGGTTCCGGATCCCCCTCCCCCCTGGGATTTTCAGTTATATTTTTTTTTGCTTGTCAAAAACTTCGAGTGTCATATTTTTTTATTGGTTGGACCCCCCCCCCTCGCAAAATTTCCTGGAACCGCGCATTAACCGATTTTCTGTGCTTTTCTCTGATCTTGGTTGTCAGAAACCAAGGCGCATGCGGGGCTTGATAGAAATAGAAAACTTGAAATGATCTAATGGAAAAAAAAAATGAAGGAGAAACGGTTGAAAGAGAAAGCTACTTGATGTGTTTTTCTCTTTGCAAGACAGAGCGTACAAAGTGAGAAAAAAGAAATAGAAAGAGGAATCAAGAATATGAATGGGGATATGTATGCCTGTGACAATTTCATAATAAAAATCTGACAATTTATTAAATATTTATAAGATTATAAGATTTTTAGTGTACATCTTAATATTTTCAACGAAGATTCAAAAATTGAAAAGTTTGTGCTCTGTTATTTTATTTAGATTTTAAAAAAAATTAATAAATAGAATTCACATTAAACAACTAAAATTTTCAATTAACGTTTAAAACGTTGTAAGAACGTTATGACTTCAATAACGTTATTTTGACGTAACGTCAATGTGTACCAACACCGTGCGCAACGCCTATATAGCCAAGTCTCTGTGTACTGAATTGTAGCACTAGGCAAGTGACAGTTACTTAATACCTTACACAATAGGCAAGTGTTCATTAGTATATTTTGCATTCATAATCATCCCTTTAAGGCCTGGGAAAACCAAGTATGATCCCAAGGAGATCACTCAGGTCTAGTACGCTACAATAAGCAAGGGTATTTTTACCAGATTTTTGAAATTCTTGGGCAACATTGCTTCGTCTATCAATTAATTTTGTTTTATACTTCTATGGATCCTTTACAGTGTTGTATTGTACTCAGGTGACCGTTAAGACCCTAGGGCCTCTTGTAAAACTTGTTATTTATTTTTAATTAAAGGTTTATTAAAGACACAAATATATCAGAAAAAATAAATTTATCACAGTTTGAATTTTCTCTGACTTCATTCAAACGCGAATATGAGGAAAAAGTCATTATACATTCGTAGGAAGTATAATTCATTCTAGGAGAACCTCAATGAAATATTAACAAGCTGTGCAGAAAAATTCTAATATGATTATGACTCCTCCTTTTCTCTCGAATTGCACATTTTCACGATTATTCACATTTAATTGGTCTTACGACATGTTACTCGAAATCTCTGTAATATACATTAGCGACCCAAGGACCTTAACGGTTACCTGGGTAGTATACAACATTGTAAAGGATCCACAGAAGTAGAAAATAAAACAAAAATAAACTGATAGATGATCGAAGATATGTTGCCCAAAAAAAGAGAAATCTGATGATCAGGGATCAACAAAATAATTAGTCTATTACTCAGTAACAAAATAATGTTAAAGCGGATCTATTTACTGTACCTGCCCCATCTGCCACTGTCACCATTCAGACTAAACAAAACAAAAGTGCTTCAGGACTATTAGAATACCAATTGCATTCCCTCTCATATTGGTCTCTTTTGTTCTATCAATTTTGGAAGAGTCGCCCTTGCTCATCATAACCAGTCACCTAGTTTATCTGCTACATATACACGTGGAGATGAATTTTTTTTTTTTTAAATATGCATTCTCAGTATATGATCATTAGAGCCCCACCCAACTCTAGAACCCCTGGCCCAGGGGCACAAATTTCACAATTTTGGAATGGACACCTTTGCCCATCATAACCAGGCACCTAGTTTATCTGTTAAATATACAAGAAAAGAAGATTGTTAAAGAATTCTTCAACTCCTGAACATTGGGCCATGAATTTCACAATTTTGCTAGAGGGCTTAATGCTTATTACAATCATGCCAACAGTTCGACTGCTTGATGTCCAGGAGTAAATTTGATGGTTTAGCCCCAACTCTTGCTTAATCAACATGTACTTCAGACAATGGATAGAACCACAGAATAGTTGTAATCGGGTTTAAATGTACAATTATCAATTTATAAATCTAAGTGTTCCAATATTTAATGACCACAGATTGATAAATGACCTCTAATTTTTAAATTAAAAGAAATTATTTTCATAATTTAAAAAACTATATGTAGCATTTTACAAACAATATCCGTAAATGATGAAAAAAAAATACAAATTAAGAACTAAATATCTTTTTCTGAAATGTTCATCGAATAAAAATGCCATTTTACACGCAGTTTATGGAGAAATGAGTTTTAATAAAATGGTTTAGAATGATTTTTTTTCTCCAGAATCAAATATTTTCTATTATTCATTTTAGCAATAACATTTTTTATTATCTGTTAAGCTATAACTACGCTTTAGCTCAAATCGTCAAACACCAGGTTATGCAACGGTAAGGAGTTCGTAGAATATTGTAGCCCTCTGGTTGTCCTTATTGAATCCAAAAATTGAAACACTTCGAAATACTGAATAGTAAAAGCTGATTTAGCGCGTTGCTGTTCGATTGAGTTATCCATTAGCTAAAATTAACAATTAAATAGAAAATGCTGCAATCTAAAAATGTTGGAATAAGAAGACAAAAACTTCACTTAAACTTCAGAAAAGGTCTGTTAGAATTATTTATCCTTGCTGCAGCTCCTGATGAGTCACGAAAACATCGGTTTCTAACAGATAGGGTTGATTAATATGTTTGAACTAACCTTATTCTCTGCAAAGATCTAAGTGTATATTCTTTGTAGAAATTTTTTACGGGATAAACACAGGGTTTCAATGGGATATTTTTTTTTTATTTTCCTTTAAGGGACATAAGATACTATTAAAACGTCCAAGAAATTTGTGATGAAGAAAGTGAAGATAACGAACAGTGATCGATCTAAATCTCGAAAAAGTCTACAAACAATACAAATCTGTGTACAGGGCGTAAAACACGAACCCCCAGAAATTCTAGTGCCTAAGTGGAGTAAGCATACCCTGTCGATCGACCGGTCACACCCGCCGTGAGCCTTAAGTACTGATCAGGTAGACGGAATATTCCGTAGTCAAATTTAGTAAACAAAGAAAGGCCTAACAATTGGTATGAAATATACCATGCAGTCAAAATACGAACCAATAACTGGTAATATTTGCTAACTAGGTCATTATAAAGACCATAGAACGTATGGAATGCCGACTTTAAACGAGGTTGTTAAAATCCCTATAACATCAACTTATTTGTCAGTAGCTGCCTCGGTTTAAAAATTGATCGTGTTCAGAGACACTGCTTTTAAGTATCGAATAGGTTGAGACCCCATCTGCAGTTGAAAGTGGATTATTACTACATAAATAAGGTAAGTTAACGATGGAAAAGCTGAAGTCATCTCGTTTGTTAATGACAAAGAATTTAGTTGTTAGTTGATGGCCCTTATCGTCTATAATCAGTGAAACATCAAAAAGTAAAACCGATTAGGCAGACTCTGAGGTGTCTTTAATTTCGAGTTCAGTGGATTATATCGAGTCGACTTATGAATGGAAGAAACAATAAATGTTAATTGACAAAACGTCGTCTGAATGTGGAGTTAAAGGCCACATCTAGTGTTTTTTCTTCTCATGTAAATTTTATGAATAAATTTTGCTTCATAGGAATATAAAAACAGGTCGGCTAATAAACGAGCACATTTAATGCTCATCGGAATTCCAACAGTTTGTCGGAAAACCTGGTCTTCAAATACTACACATATGTTATCGATGAGGAACTTCAGTATCCTTTAAATATCAACTTCACAGTATTTGTGTGTAGAAATAGAGTGACTTTTAACAGAGTAATTTTGTTGATAACACAATCACAAAATTTCAGAGTTCCACTGAAGCATTTGTCTGTGATATCAAAAAGCCTAGTTTTTAATTTTTCGTGAGGAATGGTTTTTCCTTCGTTTCTTTAATAAACTTTGAAATTTGTTTTTAAGCTGAAATTGAGAATGACTGAAATATGACTTATAAAACTTAAATATAAACTTGTGGTCCTCTTATTGTTATACAATGATAACAGTAAATATATTCCTATATATATATATATATATATATATATATATATATATATATATATATATATATATATATATATATATATATATATAATATATAATATATATATATATATATAACATCGGTTTCTTCAGTCAGCTACAGAACTTGAAAAATTTACAACGAAAAACTTCTAACCCCCCCCCCCCCCAGTACTAATGCCAGTTTTCATTCTCTATAGATGGTATGCGATATATAGGAATTATACTTTGGGTGTGTTTTCATTTCAAATGTCATCAATTTCCTCAATCAGTAGATAGCACAAAAGTATCATTGGCTGTTTATTTTGTATTCATTTCCATTTCTTTATATATATTTTTTATTAAAACTATTTGTTTTTTCTATGTAGGAGGGACTAAATATTTACATACAGCAATTTGTTTTTGTTCATTGAAGAAAAATGTTTGAAGTAAGTGTATTTTTGAGAATATCATTCAAATTGATAATTTTGGTGCTAGACGAAGCTTAATTTCCAAAATTACATCGTGACAATAGATCACAATTTTGACCAAATTCTGCCCAAAAAGCTCTTATTATTTCAAAATTCTAAAATTATGACATTGAAACTATAAAAAGCTCATGGAAATGAGCAGTGGATAATAACGTTGGTCGAAAATAAACCAATTAATTAAAATTTTCTGACAGTATATATTTGACCGTTGAAACGGGCTGCTGCTTTGTTGCCCGGGGCATACTGAATATATTACACAGTGTGTGCACATGCACGTGCTTCTTCAGTGCTGGCTGGTCAATTAATTAACTCCTGGAACTTTCAAAATCCTATCAGGGCGTACAGAAATCGGAATATTTTACTTTTCTCTAACAGCTTTTTAATAGGTAGGTTTTAGTTATGATATTTGTTTGCTCCTATTTATTAGTAATTGAACTAAAAGATACCAACTTTAAATGATTTTGAATGATTTTTAATTTACTGCTTAAACTGTTTGTATAGAACTTAATTAAATCAGATGCTGTTTTTATAATATTTCTTACTCTTACCCACCTGCTAGTCCGCAATATTTTTAGTTGTATTCTTTCTTACCTGTGTTTTTGAATTAGGAGTAAACTGAAACACGGCTAAAATGTTATTTAAAAATTTATTTTTTATTTATTTTAAATTATATAGTGCACGTCTACTGAATTAGAATTAATGTTCTGAAATAAATCGATATTTTAATCAAAAGTTAATCTTCTATATACTGAAGTAATGAATATTTTTGTAATGGTGTCGATTTGTATATATACGAATGTGCTCTCTGTACCTGTCAGAAAAAAAACCCCGGTAAATTTATTACCAGGCATCACATGTAGCTACTTTTGATCTCACTACATTTTACATTCAGGCCTCAGAAACCTCAGTTTGATATAACTTTCTTAATGCAGAAAATACACCTTGTATGCTTTTTCTGTGCTATTTTATCTTATGCATGAAATAAACACAATTTAAAAAAATAAATTTCCCTCTCATATTTTTCTGGTAAGATCAAGTCATAAATTATGTGGCTAGTCTAAATTACTTGGTTCCTTTGCCATGTCGGTACAATTTTGAAGAAGCACGAACTAGCCTCTCATCAAATTTGCATTTACTGCTGTACCTGTGATAAATACATATCTTGTATGAAAAATGCATTTTAAGAACTAAAATTAACAGTTTTTAATATTCATCTGTTCGCATTCGTATTTTTTGCACATTGTCACTTATTTTTAGAAGAATGAATATTGATTGCACCAAGGCTGTATATATTATAAAGTTCTTTTTTGACAGTTGGATTTCTCTTTGCCGTTGTGCCTTTCCAAGCTCTGAAGGTCAAAGTGTACCTGTAAAATCAAACCTAAACGCCCTAATGGTCTATTTATCACTCTTTAAGTTGAAAGAGGAAAGATCTTCCATCATTTTCACCAGAGACAAACTTAGTACGATATTGTGCTCATTTCCCCCACAACTGTTAAATTGTTGCATAATTTAGTTTGCAATTTCTACGCTGACAGTGTCATTTGTTAAAAATGCACTCATGAAATTTAAATTAAAGTACATTGTCCCGACTCCACCTCCTGACAAATGAACAATAAAACCTCTTTTGTTTTTTGGAGAGTGATTGTTGTTTACAGAGGTCCTAAACACTGTCCTTATTTCTGAAAAAAACTCGCTATTTTTCATGTGGAAACACCTCTTTTATCTCTCGGAATCATATTTGTCAAAACTCTTGACACAGACGTTTTGTAGACATTCGGTTTATCCTACTTGCATAAGGTAAAGAATTCATTTCACTTGGAATTTATGGTAACGAAATCAATTGTCAGTTATTTAAATGATAATTAAGAGTATATCTTTTAAAAAGAAATACGCCTTAATAAGATTTTATAATTCAACAGATAGCACACAAAAATTAGATCTGATCATGAATTTCCCTGTTTCTGACCCTACGTAATAAATAATTCGCCTCAGAATGGTAAACCGTGATCTGTTGATAGATTTTCAAAAATTAAATAAACTACTTAAGCTATTGGTACATTGCATTTCCTTGAAAGATTTCCATTCATATGTGATAAACATTTAGGGAGAAATTCAAAGGCGGTAAAAGAATTATACTAGTCACTAAATAAACTGTATCAATTTTCTGAAAGCAAGGTCGTGTCACAATGGTGCAGGTCTCCATCGGTGATGTAAAATTGTTACTTTAAAGTATGACCATACCATAGTAGTAGCAGGCTCTAATGAAGATACTAGAAACCTTGCTGACCACACATTTTTAGACTCTACTGAAAACTTAAGACTTATTGTTCTTAAAAATGTCTCTAAAAGTTCTCTACGAAATATTCACAGTGATTTAATAAATAATGAAAACGCTGAACTATCAACTGGTCCAGAAATATCATACATAAACAGATAAATGTAGGTATACATTGGATAAGGTGTAGGTTTCACTTGATTAAAAACAAAACACAAAACAAATGCAACTTTTATTAATTATTCGTCAAATACACACTACATACCGTAGTTTTTGATGTCCTAATTTTTAGATGAATGACCTTGAATGTGATAATTTTGCTGCAATTTAAAAACGACATTCATGCTTTACTTATTAAATACATTAATTTCATACTTGTGAAAAAAAAACTTCATGAATTCGAATATCAATGAAAGTTGTAGGTTTAAGTACTGTTAATCATTGAGTACTTTATGTACATGTAATTAAAATATTTTGCGGGACAAGTATGCTAGTCACCTTTATCATAAGTATTTTATAGAGACTTAATTCACGGAAATGAAGTCCTCGAATTTAATGTGCCTAACGTTACTCTTGAAAAAATTGTTTAAGCATGTTGATGTACTTTAGAATTACAATGCATTTTTAATTTATTGTATACAAAACAACATAAGTAATGTAACGTGTTCTCCATTTTTTTTTCGCTTTAGGCTCAATATGTGACCAGTGAATAGTGCCGAAGTCGTAGAATTTGCATACTTTTGAATTTCAATGCATTCTTGATTATGCAAATTTAACCCCTTTGTTGTCTATTTGAAGGTTTGAGGCGAGAAAAACTGTAGATCAAAGAATTTTTACTAAGTTTTACCACACATGATGTTTACAAGGAATATATGAAATTAAACAATTTAACTAAGACGTTGCGCACGGTGTTGGTACACATTTACGTTACGTCAAAATAACGTTATTGAAGTCATAACGTTGTTACAACGTTTTAAACTTAATTGCATGTTTAAGTTGTTTAATGTAAATTCTATTTATTTATTTTTTAAAAACTAAATAAAATAACAGAGCACAAACTTTTCAATTTTTGAATCTTCGTTGAAAATATTAAGATGTACACTAAAAATCTTATAATCTTATAAAATCTAATAAATTGTCAGATTTTTATTATGAAATTGTCACAGGCATACATATCCCCATTCATATCCTTGATTCCTCTTTCTATTTCTTTTTTCTCACTTTGTACGCTCTGTCTTGCAAAGAGAAAACACATCAAGTAGCTTTCTCTTTCAACCGTTTCTCCTTCATTTTTTTTCCATTAGGTCATTTCAAGTTTTCTATTTCTATCAAACCCCGCATGCGCCTTGGTTTCTGACAACCAAGATCAGAGAAAAGCACAGAAAATCGGTTAATGCGCGGTTCCAGGAAATTTTGCGAGGGGGGGGGGGGGTCCAAACAATTAAAAAATGTGACTCTCGAAGTTTTTGACAAGCAAAAAATATTATAACTGAAAATCCTAGGGGGGAGGGGGTCCGGAACCCCCTTCCCGACCTCCCCCGCCTGCCTTTTTTATTGAAACCTTTTGAATTCTGTCATATTCTTTCTATATTTTTCTAATATGTTTAATCAGATAATGTACCTAGCATTTACAACCTTGATTTTGCGAAGGAATATATTTTTCTACGATAGAGAAAATGTGCCTTTATTATGAAATCAAAACATTTGAATGATGTAATTTTTATGACAACCGCTGTACAAAGTAGGATTTTCCCCATAACCAGCCCCCTACCCCCCACCCCAGAATCTATATACTCGGGAATCTTACACTAGAGCTAATTTTCCCCTCTTTCTCTCTCAGAGTAGGTTTTCCCTTGTTTTATCAATGCTTAAATCATATCGACATTGCTAAAGTTTATATGAAAGTCAACTGATTTTTTAATAGAATTATGAGTGTTTTCGCTCAAAAATTTTTCAGAGGATCATGATCAGAGGATATGTTGACTTATATGGCCGATATTGGTTTCAGTCTTTAGAAAAAGCTTATCGATATCCGTTCCGGTCCCTGACTTTAGGCCACATGCGTGTAGTTTCTTGTTTCTCATGTATCGTTTTAGTTCTAGTCAACTGTCTTCATATGACCCTACATCGGTATTTACAGAAACATCCTTTATAAGAGGGTCCTTACTTGATGCCTGGGTAATGGCAACGGGACATAAAACCTTAACTGACCTTACCACATTCTTTTCTAATCTGTAAACCTTCCCCCTGCATTTTTGACATAACATGTCGCCAATGCCCACAATTTTCCCGAGGAATGAACTGCATCTACTCTGCATGGCGCAGTATCTCTCCCAATGGCACAACAGTACTATTATACCCAGAGATGTTCTTGAAAGACAAACACAGCAATTTTTGCTCGGCATGATTTTTTTTTTTCGTAACACCTGCAGTATCGAGTAACACAAAGTGAATGATTCGTGTCCTTGAACAAAGTGTGCTTACACTGAGGTATAGTTCCGGTTGATTGCGTTTAGTTAAAGAGAATTTATGATCTGCATTTCCATAAATGTCTTTTATATCAACAGCAAACTAAAATGAAAAAGCCTGTATGAAAAATTAAATTCGTGTTTATACAGGTGAAAAATTTGAAAAAATAAAAGTGTTCCAACAGGTGGATTCGAACCAGGACGCTAAAATTGTCCATGGTGAGAGACTACGATCTGTCTCTCTGAGCTATACTGACTATGTGAACATGCGTCTGACATAAATATAATCCAGTATGATAGAAATAGGTTTTCGCACTTTTTTTACGAATTTCGACCCTAGGGCAGGGGTGCCCCTAAAAAATCTTGTTTTAAATAATTTTTTCAGATCAAAATCTATCAAAATTTCATAATTTAAATTAGGAGTAGGCCTGCCCTGAAGGACTTCTATTCCAAAATTTACGCAAAAATTAGTGCTTTATCGGATAATATACTGTCTTGACCAACTTTGGAGGTTAATTTCAAAGTTGCAAATAAAAAAAAAAATTAGGTTCAAAATGCAAATTTGAAAAATTAGACAAATATACGATAGAAAACAACAAAAGAACATTGATTTTTAAATGTGACTTTTTCAGGAAATTGT